CTCATACTATTTATGAAAAATGAAATTTGATAAAGTTCTTTAATAAACTATTGGATTTTACAGTGTATTAAAACTTAATTTTTGATTAGTAATATGCATTGCTAAGAACTTCATTTGGACAACTTTAAAGGCGATTTTCTCAATATTTAGATTTTTTTGCACCCTCATATTCCAGACTTTCAAATAGTTGTATCTCGGCCAAATATTGTCCTATCCTAACAAACTATAAATCAACGGAAAGCGTATTTATTCAGCTTTCAGATTATATTTATATCAATCTCTCAATCAATCGACATTTTTCATAATCAAAATAATCTGCTTTATTCTGCTTTAAGACCAACAGCGCTCCAGACACACGTAATCTCTTCAAAACATTCAATTCTCTCCTCTGTCCCCCTCCACCACCTCCCACCACTTCTATAACAGCTTATGATTTTGCCACATTCTTCACAGACACAACTAGAACAATCAGTAGTCAATTCTCAGCCCCCCACACACAGGACCTCAGACCAACCACACCCATTGCTAAAACTCCCATCTTCTCCTTCTGACCCCTCACTGAGGCAGAAGAATCGAAACTTCTCCTCTCCAGCCATCCTACAACATGCCCTCTAGACCCAATCCCCTTACACCTTCTCCAAGCAATCTCTCCTACACTCTTACCAGCGCTCACACACATCATCAACACATCTCTCCTCACAGGCACCTTCCCCACTGCATTCAAGCAGGCTCGGGTAACCCCACTGCTCAAAAAACCTACATTAAACACTTCACTTATAGATAGCTACAGACCTGTCTCTCTCCTTCCATTCATAGCGAAAACCCTCGAACGAGTTGTTTTCAACCAGGTATCATTGTTTCTTTCACAGAACAACAAACTGGACGCTAACCAGTCAGGTTTCAGGAGTGACCATTCAACTGAGACTGCACTACTGTCAGTCATGGAAGCCTTGCGGATAGAGGTCTGCATTCCCGTGGGACCCGACCGGATTTTTTGCACTGCGGGATTAAATTCCCGAATAAAACACGGTAGCGGTCGGTAACTCTGGTGTAATTTGAACGGGAGCGGGAGGTCTAACAATATCCCGTTAAGGGTAAGGATGGAGCAAAGTGTGGATGCGCTGTCCTTGAAAATGTTAAACGAATTGTATCCTGACAAGACGAATAAAAATAAGAAATACAATTTTTGTACAACATTTTTATTTTCTCTGACAATTTTTTAACCCCTGTGTTGCATAAAATATTAAACGAATTTCGTGTCTTAAGATAATTCATATAAATTCAAGTCAAAGTCAGTAAATTCAAGACTCTTGTCAAGACGAATAAAACAACATGCAATTTTGTGCAGACTACACTTTTATTTGTCAGCCTATCTCTTTCTTTCAGTAGCGGTTTAAACGTGAGATTCTGGAAATGAGATCTAAATTTAGCGGGAACGGTCGGCTTGGGAAGAAAATTATTCTAAGCGGACAGCGGGTGAACAAAGAGTGAATATATAGCGGGAGCGGGTGTTGATCGATGATCAGTTCTTGGACCCCTCCTCTTCTCCATATACACTACATCACTTTGCGTGAATTCCGCCGCAACTATCCTTTGCCAAATGATAAGCACACTACTATATCGCGATTCTAACGGAGCATGCTGCACAACTTCTTGTCCAGGCCCTTGTCATTTCTAGGCTGGACTACTGCAATGCTCTTCTGGCTGGACTTCCATGAAGCACAATCAAACCTCTACAAATGATTCAGAATGCAGCGGTACGACCGGTTTTCAACGAGCCCATGTTACACCTTTCCTTATCTCCATGCACTGGCTACCGGTTGCGGCTCACATTAAGTTCAAGACACTGATGCTTGCATATAGAACAGCCTCAGGCTCAGCACCCACCTACTTCCACTCACTATTACGAATCTACATCCCCTCCAGAAGTCTGAGATCCGCTAGTGAGCGACCGACGCCTCATGGTACCATCACAGGGAAGCTCAAAATCACTTTCCAGAACATTCTCGTTCACCATTCATGGCTGGTGGAATGATCTTCCCACCCCTATCCGGAATGCTGAATCCTTGACAATTTTCAAGCGACAGCTGAAAACTCACCTCTTTCGACACTACTTGACTTCATCCTAAATTAAAAAACAACAAAAAAAGTGTCTTTCTCTTTATTTATTCCTTCCCTTTCTAGCTTGTACTGATTTAAACAATGCCTGAAACTTGGTATTGCGAGCACTTCCTGTGACTGTTTGCCTCTTTAAGATGAATCGCTTTATGTATTCCCCAATTGTAAGTCGCTTTGGATAAAAGCATCTGCAAAATGACTAAATGTAAATGTATTCCAGGTTTGTCACATACCTTTACTGTACTTTTTGGACATTGGTTTTAACATTTCCCACAAGCCATCAAAGCTTCCTTGTGATTGAATAAAGACACAGCCACATTGGATTCTTCTTTTATATAACATAATTTATATACACATGGCTTTTTACAGCGGCAGCATGTTTCTTGTACAGGAATACAAGCACAACATCGGCATAAAGAACAAAATCAGAGTGCTATGGCCTCACATTTCACAAACTGTTTGCTCACTGCTGATGAACTTAAAGAATAAAGATATAATATACATATGTCAGTATTAGCATGTCAGCTTAACAATATAATTTCTCTCTTATAGATTATTACTTTCTCAACTACATAAACAAATTGCACCTTTAGTTATATCATTTTTTTGATTGTGAATCAAATCATTTCTGCACATAAGTTAAGAAATGTAACAGTTTGTTTCAAAATAGATAATCTTCACTTTTTCATCTCTCTAGGAGAACTCATTACATCTATAGACAATTCATATAGACAAGTGCAATATTTTAATTGATATTTTTTTCATGAAAAATTGGTCCAAACTCCACAATCTGAAGAAAAACGGCAAAATTTTCTTCAAAATTAATTTCAATGATCATTATTAGTTTTTTTTTTTCTTTCTCAATTGTTCGGTATTTTTTTTTTACAAACTGCTGCTAAATACAATAACAGTGTACAATGTACAAAAAACTGTGCATGTAAATTATGTTCTACTCTAAATATACTTCATATTCTTCAGAACTATGAACTAACATCTTTGACATTAACATGACTCCACAGCTCTATCAAACATGAAATATCAAATATTTTGTCATCGTAAAAACATACTGTAGATGACAATAATCTTAATAATCATTAAAGTACATGGATGTGCATAGGTGGGGTCACCTGCTAAATTCACAAAGCAAATGCATGTTCATGATAATTGGGCACAATGTAATCTGGTTTCTTCTTGAGTGAGGCAGTGTGGGTCAGAGGTTATTAATAATATTTTAATGAAGTGAGCTTGTTTAAGTTAACAAACGTCTGGCATTCTTCTCATGACTGAACCTCACTGTGTCCAAACCAGGCGTGACAAGAAATTTGTCTGTCCATACTAAATAGTGAAAATTATGGCACAGCCAATCATATTTTGTGTTACATATAGAGTTATGTAGAGTGGGATTTTGGACCAATGAGATTTTGCAATGGGTGGGGCTATACAGTAGGAGGCCACAGGAACAGAAACCAAAACACCAACAAGTAACTTGTGGCACATTCCGCCTGGTTAGAAAACAGTGTTAACGTTCATCAAGAACACCTCTAATAACATTAAGCATTTAATATTTAAAAATTGGCCAATAGTGAGAACTTAATTTATCTTAGTTTTCTACAAAGCATTAAAATGTCTTCAGCATTTTTGTATTATAACAGTACTCAAGAAACCATTTTGAGTATTGTCTGAGATATCTGTAATTTTTGCTGGCCAATTTGAAAACTGTTTAAGTCTAGTAGTGCACATGGGTGCAAGGAACCTAAACTGTTGAAATTCTTGGTAAAGGGAACAACAAACTGAAATGACATGTAAATGAAAAACAAAAGTTGAGGCACCACAGACTTCTAAAATCACCACAAACTTGTAGAACATATACATCACAGTGCCTGCAGTTTGAGAGAGATGTGAATTAAAATAGAAATATAATACAAGTGTAAATAATACACTGACATTATACAACCACAGCACTTTTCCTTCAGCCAAATAATGTTGTCAATGTCTCTACACTTTCTTAAAGGCAGAGAACTGTAGTTTTACTACAGCAACAGATTCAATACAATGGTCACCTAGCACTGTAGCTGTAAACTACATTAACCACTGTTAAAGGCTTTGGTGGTGTCCGGCCCAGTGAGAAATTATGAAGAGCAAATACAACAGTTTGTTTATTTATTTATTTTAATTTTGAGGTGGTGTCTTACCCTGGGATTTAGCTCTTATATGGGTCACAACAAAGACAGGCCTAATCTTTGTCGGAACTAACAACTGAAAAAAAGTTCTGGATTTTAAAGACCTAAAATCTCAGGGAAAATGCACTATAAACGGCTTAGAAGAAGTAATGTATCCAAAAATTCAAATTCTGGGATCATTTATTTGCCTGCATATCATTCCAAACCCGTGACTTAATTTCTTCCATGACACACAAATTATTTTTGCTTAATAATGTATTGGCTGCTCTTTTCCATACAATGAAAAAAATGAAAGTATTGGGTCAATCGAAATTTGTAATTTTTCACATAAAGCCTCCAAAACAAACATGGCGCTATAAGATGTGCAAAGAAACACACAAAAACCAATGGTATTTGCCATCAAATGGCAAAGATGAACTATTTTTGTAGTTCAAAAGACTTGACAGACTTTTCATTGCATGGGAAGAAGCAGCCATGATATTGTTCAAAATGTCACTTTTTGTGTTTCACAGAATAAATAAACTGATTTGGAAAAAAATAAGTTACTGTATATTTTTTTTGTAAATTATAAGCTTTTCATTATTGGGTGAACTATTTCTTTAAATAAAAAAAATAAAAAAAAGAATCTCAAACTGAAGCCAATAATAAACAGCAATAAGAATAATTGTGATAATACAAAAGGAAAAAAAAAACTTCTATATATAATAACCTTCTTATATTTTTACTTTATATGTTTTTGAAATATATTTCATGTATTTACAAGAAATGTGGAAAGATGCATATAATTCAGATGAGAAACACTATTCCATGTAAGCCTGCCAAAATGTAAAATGTCAAGTCCAGTTTCTCTCAGATTTACAAAACAACATTAAATCTGTTGCCCTGATTGTTGATATCATTGTGTAAACTCTCTGTACACCAGTTAATAGTAACACACTGTTTAGAAATGTAGTACATCTTGCCTACGTCAAATTCTGAGACAGAATGAAAAGTGTTACAAGACAGAAATGAAAGTGTAATGATGTGCTGTATGTTACGCAGTTCAACTAGTCTGCAACAATTTTCCCTAACATTTCCAAGGTCATGTTTGTGCAGGGCTATTTCTAAATAAATCTATTTACAGTCATTCCTGCCTACCGCTGTTCCAGTTCTTCTTCCCAATAAGGCCAATCATGGAGTCTCCATGAAGCACAGCATGAATGTGTTACTCTCAGCAAAAATTGCAGTAGGGTTTTGAACTGACAACACAATAATGAATGAGCTATTACCTTGGGAGTCACTTTTCTGAGGTGTATCGAATAAACTTGAGGTGTGCTGCCTGGTGTTGGATTTGATGGTTATACCTTATCACAGTTTACCCTTAATGGAAATGCGACTGTAAAATCATTACTGAAAATTGGTGTGAACATTGGTAAGTTTGTGTTGCAGCAGATGTAAGGGCCTCAGGTTTTCGTTGCCCTGATTTGACGACTAATTCTCTACAGCAAGAAGAAGGCAGCATAATAAAGCTTGTCAATTTGGCTATGGAGCACAGGCACCTGGTTTGGCACTTAGTTTGAACGTGAGTCCCAATGTCTGAGGAAAATATCCTTGCAATTTAGCTCTGTACTGAGCCAGTGTGCTTGGCAGTGTGAGGTCGTATCTCAGCCGCCTCTGCTGAAGAAAGCGAAAGAATAATGGGGGCTACGTTCCCTGACGAAGGGTTTGGATGTGTGTGGACAGCCGCTCTGTGCTGCTGTTTCCCAGTTGAGTTTTTTTTACCTGTAAAAATAAGAATAAAAACGTCAAAGAAGCCACTTCACATATCATCTACACAAGTCAAAGTGTGTACAAACGTGTGTTTTAACCACTACTCAAAAAGTCAATTTGAAAAGTTACCGGACTTCAGATACTGATGGGGTGTTAAAATTTTATACTTTTAATAAAAATAGCTCCTACCCAGACACCCAGCTGTGGGTGGTGGTCTTTACACTGTGAGGTGGGAACCCCTGTTGGGTGGCCATGGGGTCAAAGTTGAAGTCCAGCGATTCTCCGTCCATGAGCGTATCATGCAAGATGGACTCAACATCGCATTCAAATCGCTCCACAGGCATCCCGTCCAGATCACTGGGCAGCTTCTCCAGGTGTTGCTGTTGCGGGTGGGGCATCATCCCTGGGCTGCGCCCATATCCGTTGCTGTTGACAATGCAGTAAGGAGGAAGCCCACCTCCAAGATGACTGGAGCCTCCATACTGCATCTGCATGGCTGACTTGACGCTTCCCAAACGCCCACCAGCACTGCTGTGACCAATCCCGGTCAGAGGGTGCAACGATCGCCCATTCAATGCCAAAGATGTGGCTTGTCCATGCATATTGTGTGGATGAGAGAGGGCATGGCTGTGGGATGCTCCACCTCCCATAAGTTCATTCCGCCCACTATTGTAGGGCGGCAACATACACCCACTGCCTCCAGCTGACTGGGAGACGACGGTGTCCACTGAGGGCATGAGCTCTCCAGGCTCTCCATCAGATGTAAGAAGCTCCTTCAGCAGGCCTGCTGTGCAGTTAAACTGGCCCATAGTTCCTGGGCCAGAAACAAAACTGGGCTTGCTTTCTGGCAGAGGCTGCATCGGCATTGGGGACATGCTGCCCATTCCTCCCTGGCCGTAAAGACACTTACGATAGTCTTGTTGGGTCTGCTGGTTGACCGCAGCCAGACCTTGGGAACTGTAGGGGGAGTAACCAGGGCTGGCCTGCATGAGTGAAGAGGGTGAGGACTGGCTGGATCCTGACCCAGGCCCTCCTGTGGACCCCACCGATTGGTTCTTAGGTGAGAGCAAGTTGAGGTTATCCAGAAGGTTCTCCATCACATTCTCAGAGCCACTGTGACCCAGAGAACCAGCCATTTCAGACAAGCTGGGGAGAGTGGAGGTCATTTTGGCACCTGACCCAGGGCCTGGGTAGACCATGTGGACATCAGAGTCGCCAAGTTCGTCATCAATAAAGGGCGAGAGACGGCCGCTCAGTGTGCTGGCATTGGAGCTGGTGCGGGGACGGAAAGCCGTCCAGGCGTCAAAGTCATCATTGCTGTGGGAGTTCGGACTGCCTGGCCACTTGCCATACTGAGAGCCTGGGCTATCTGCGACCCCCTCGGGACCACCCTGAAGAGCCAGCTATAAAGTTAGAGATGAACGAAACAATTTGTAAGAAAAATAACTGTATGTACAAATGTATAGTGTGTACTGTTTATGGAAGAGAATGCCGCAGGTCTAGTGTGGAACTCTTACCTTTTTTTTTGCTGCTCGTCCTCTGCTCTTGGCAAACTTGCTGTTGTTGTCCATGGAGGCAGCCCGGCGTCGAGGTGACTTGCCACTTTTGCCGCCTTCAGGGTTGAGCATCCACCAAGAGCTCTTACCTGTCCCCTCATTCTGCACTCGGATAAACCTGCTATGTAGGGACAGGTTGTGTCTGATTGAGTTCTGTGGGAGAGAGAGAGACAGCAAGGAGAAAAAAGTGTGAGCGTTATGTTGTTAGTTTGCCTTGTTCCCGTAAATTCCCCTCTGACGGTAAATCAGCAGAGTGCAAATCCACACAGCAGCTGTTTTCTATTAAAGACTTTTTTTTTTTCACCTCCACTTTCGTCCACTCACCATATCCTTCACCTATATGCATCATTTTCTGTCATTCAAAGGAGACTTGAGGACAGTTTTTCTTGAACACTGGCCATTCTTATAAACATATTCTTGCAAATATTTACAAATTGCTCTCAGTGGTCTATTCAAACAGAACGAGAGAGTGCCTTCGATGTTTTGCTGTGAATCATGAAAACATAATTCTATATTTAGTGACAATGGACATTCCTAATCTTCAAATTCAGAGCTCTGACTATTATCAATGATACATCTTGATGAACCTCTGCCTTCAAAAGTGAATGAACTGATTTATTTGAAGGTATTAAAGATGGCATGTGCCCTCATAGTTTTAAGTGCAGATGCAACTATGAGTAAGCCATTCGTAAGTTGATTTACCAAAAGTGCATAAACACTGACGTTTTCAGAACATTGCTTTGTTTGAGTGGCTTGGCCTGTCAGCTTCTGCCCTCAACCAATGACACGTGTTACTTTATAGGAGCGCAAAAATTATAAAAGAAAAATAAGTAAAAAAATGCACTGCCACACGGTCTGACTTAATTAGCAACATATCACTTAAATAGCAACCTTTCTTAATGACCAACCAAAACAGCCATTTCTGTGCTTGTTATTCTATTCTTGCCAATGAATAGTGGTAGCAATAGGGCACATATAGTGTAGTAAAAAAATGATGTACTTTCTTTCATTCTGATGAGCTCACATCCCATAATATCTGGCAAACACAGGTCAACATTCAGCCTGGCATAGATGCATTACCTATGTTGTCATGGTGATCTCAATCATTAGGACTATTTTCCCTAGAGAGGTGGAAAATGGGGGATTTTTGAAATGCTGGTCTAATGCCTCCTGTGTCTAATTTAGAGTTGTTAATGGATAGTTACAGGACGTGATGGCAGCTTAAGATGGTCTTTGTGGTTGTTTGTGAACTAAAAGGCTTCACGAAGCACATGCAGAGACACATTTATTAATTAATTAATTTATTCATTTATTTATTTTTGGAAAATCTAGCCCATAAATCCTACATGCTCAAAAGAAACAGATCTTGAAAGATCGAATGCAATTCATATAAACAATAACCTATGTGTTCTTTCTTATTCTGAAATAAAATTATTTTTAATCAAATCAAATCAGTCGTAATCCTAGTGAGGTTGCATCTGTCCTATCTTTCTGAGAGTCCTCCTCAGCATTAAACTCTAAAATGAGACAGTCTAGCAAGTCTTCTGGCTACGCCATTAAAGTTTCCACCTCCGTGGTCACAGCACAAAAATAATATTGACAATTTTAATAATCAATCAATAAAAAAGTTGTAAAAATTAAACTTATTTTATAATAGTCTCATGTCTCAATGTCTCATTTTAATTTTTACTAAAATAACTAAAACTAAAACTGAAATAAAAAAGAATAAACTACAGACATAAAAATTCACTTTCTATTAATGCAATACAGCAAATGACAACCATCTGTGGTTTTCCAGTGGTTTACATCATGAGCAGTTTAGCATTATGTAATTAATTAACAACAACAAACATAATCCTTACATCTCCAATAGTTTTTTTTTTTTGCATTTGATAATGATATTGGACAAGCTCAGTGCTGACTCATTTTCTAATTCCTTTTCATGAACTGGAATGTGTAGTGGAGGATTATGGGTGACTGGAGGACGCAAAGGATACACTTGATGCATCATTTAAAATACAAATAATAAAGGACGTGAAAAGAAGGCTGCCTCCAAAGGATCTTTCAAATTGACACGATCTTCAACAGAGCTTGATGAGGTGTCAGCCAAGATATACAACCTTACTAGGATGCAGCCTTTACATTAAGAAACACCCAAGTCAGCGTGGTGTAACCAACATGCAGGAAGCCATTTTCTTGTCATGTGACAAGAAAGGAAATTATATCACAGAAAGAAGCCCCGCACACACTTTTGTTCCATTTTTAAAACTAACTGACCTTTTTAAGTTCAAATAGTCAAATGGAGTAACATTGGGAATAAAAAAAAAAACAGACACACACACACTTGATGTTTTTTTTTAAAACATCAAGATAGGTCAACTACTTTTTACTTCACATTCAAGTACTTTTTAATGCATGGCTTAACCACTTTACATTTTTTTACATTTTTATTTTTTTTATTATAATTTTGATCAAAAATGGTATAAAACTTTTTCAAAAATGCATGAAAACAACTAGACATACTAGCAAACAACTAGTATGCATCACATGGCACAAAAAGGGGAAATTATCAGAATAACTACAAATAACATCCTATGATGACGTACATTATGTGCGTTAGCATTTACAGAGCGAAACAAAATCTAAAAATCAAATGAATCAAAATAATTCAGAGCTAAGCATGCATGAATCCAAAGCAGAACAATACCAACTGAAGTAATTTCGCTCTGCTAACTAAAACTGTCTATCTGGCTCAAATTTTGAACAGAACACTGCACAACTGAAAACAGAGTCACTACTTTAAAATACAACTTTGCATGTCAAGTGAAATATCTCTTGGGCAGTCCGCAAATATGTATAGCGTGACAAATTTAACCACAACCACATTAGAAGAGGATTCACTGATGGACATATGGAGAGGTTTGGGAGAATGGGAGCCCTGGGGAATACCAGGATAGGACTCGGCATTCTGAGTGGGAACAGTCTGGCAGAGCAGTATGTTTGGATGTGGCTCAAAACTCTTCCTCTTCCTGTTGAGTGTTATCAAAGTGTTTGTGCACTAGCGGTGAACTATTGAAACAGGAGTTCCTTCTCTGATGCTACCTAGGAACGATGACAAACCGGAGCTATGAGAGAGTCCATTTATCCTGTTTGACTGCTGCACTGTATGTTTGTGTCCTCTAAATAGCACAAGCCAACTGAGTTCCTCCAAACCGCAGTTGAATCTGTCCCTAAAAGTATGAGAACAAACGGCCAGAAAACGATATCAAAGCGTGTTCATCCTGTGTGCAGGTCTGCAGCTTCCTTCCCGATTGACACATTTTTAGCCTGTTTTGACAATAGTTGATGTATTAGTGGTGGCAGAACACAGGAACTTCGACATTCCAACTAATCACTGTGTTCAAAGTTCAAACGTAATCACAGCTAGCCCACTAATACCCTATCTCTTCTGGAACTACAGTGTCCCAATCTACATTCCTGTCTGTGGATACTAAACCCCAACCATCACTCTTGTTGTGTGAAGATCCTATAATCTTGGGTTCGCAACAATACTGCCATTCCACAAATACCACACACAATGAGATGGCATTATATAAAACTGAGCAATTTCTAGAATGTTATGATCAAGTAAGAACACAATGTGTCATCTATGCAACTGAATCATGTCATTATATTTTCCTACAGTGAAAATGTGGTATAATGTGCTAAAAAATTTCCACATTTCAGTCATTTCATATGGCTATATATATTTTAATCAATCTACCTTTATTACAGTAACTGTAGAGTCATACATGTAAAAATAAACTAATTAATAAATACAATTAATTTGGAATAAATTATTGTATGGTGTCCACAATACCACAGTTGTTACAGTTATACTATAATAAAATTGTAGTGACATGGTATTATGCTGTATTCCATTCAAAGTAGGATATTCTTATTTGGTATCAGTGACTTAAATCAATATAAAATATAAAATGGCAATATTTGTTTTGCATGTGCATGATTATTAACAAAGAAGAGAAGATTGTTTACTGTGTTTAACAGTCCAATTGAGCCACACTTCCGCAGATCACTTGCTTACTGAACTTACTCTTCTCATGGCATTGGAAACAAGTTATTATCAAAATACCAAATCTGCTGTTCTCATAAAACAAAATTGCCCGATGATTGCTGGCTGTCAAAGTCAGATACAATCATGCATTACATTTATATATTATTTTTTATTAGGTTATATATCGCTTTCTAGATGAGCTGAGCATAACAATTTCCACAACTTTCCCTTGGCTTTTTAAGATGTATTTAAGATTTATTAGTTACAGATTATTAGATTAGGCCTGAAAAAAAGTCAAGAAAATAAAAATTTCCAGGTTGTTCATAATCGTGCAAACCCTGACAAATGTGTCATACTCATATTGCATACTCAAAGAGTTATTTTCACATACACACGATTTGAAGCCCCTGTTGCAGGAACAATGAAGAAAGTCAACAGCAAGAGCCAAACACCAGGAAGTGACCACATGAAAGAGGACTGTCACAGGAAGCCGGCCTCACTTCCTGTCTTTCAGGAAGCAGTGGTTGTGTATTTGAGCCTCTGAGTTTGTGTGTGTGTGTGTGGAACGGACTGGAATGCCAGGCCACACAGCCAAGCTGGGGGTGGAGAGAGAGCTGCCCTACTGCACTCCTCCTCTGGCAGACTTCTGTTTGGCACCAGATCCAGCCGCAGTCATTCTCACTCCAGAGAGAATAAACAAAGCCCTACAGACCACAGATACAAACCGAAGAGCTCAACTACAGCCAAAGCAGTGCCCACTCCATTGCCCCCTTAAATAATGGATATCTAGACATTAAATATGCCTTAAAATGTCTCTGTAAAACACGACCCCATGGCCTGATAACTAAAAATCTTACAAAGAGCATAAAGCTTTAAAGGAATACAGCAGTTTTAAAGGATTATTCCAGGTTATTTATAACAAAAGTACTCCACATGTAGCATCTGATGGCATGCCATGCATGCGATACATTAGGGTGAAATTAAGGTGAAAATAACTTAAATATAGCATATGTAAGTATGCATACTCTACCCAAGTATATGAAGTCAAATTCTTTGATTTGTATGTGTCATAACATTTAGAAATATGCTTCATCATAAA